TGGGGGGCAATATGCTGACTCTGTAAACCGCTTAGAGAGGGCTGAAAGCCCTATGAAGGGGTATATAAGTCTAACTGCTATTGCTATTGCTAGATGCATTCCAAAATAATTTCCTTTCTTGTATGTGCAGAAGCAACAGCTCCTATTCTAATGCGGTTCCAAGTAAAAGTAGTCCTTGATTTACCATTGTAATCGAGCCTGGAAATATGGTCATAAGTCATGATGCTCATTAAGGGGATCACTGTTGTTAAACAGACCATGTACCTATTTTCCCCAATGGGTACTCTTTTGCTGGTAATCAGAAGCAAACCCTGGAAATGGGGGAAATGCCAAAAATTGTGGTCATGTGCAAATGGTCATAAATGCAAATCAGTTAACAACTATCCAAAATGCGATTTTCTGGCTTCAGAATGGGTCAGAAGTAGCTCGGGGAGGTCTGTTATAACTTCGAACAGTTGCTAAACACTGGCCATTAAATGAGAACTATCTGTAGAAATCTTAGTTCTTGGATGACCTTTTGCTATTTCCCTTGTAATTTAACCACAATCTTCAGAAAATTAAAGCACCGAGCCAGACTTCTTATCTCTTCGCTTACTTGTCTATCTAGTTATGCCAACGTCAAGAAGTGTAGCAATGAAGGTCGTGCTCTGATGCAGTTGGATTTTCAACAGTTTTTAATGAAGCTGGAGAAACTCACAGATATTAGGCCTATTCCAGACAAGGAATTTGTGGAGACCTACATTAAAGCTTATTATTTGACTGAAAATGACATGGAACGTTGGATCAAGGAACACAGAGTAAGAACCAATTTTTAGGTTTTCTCATTGTATTGGATCTGTTGGGCTGGAAATTTACAGTAGAAACTCTGGTCACGACCATAATTCATTCCATAACTTCGGTTGCAAGCCGATTTGGTTGTGATCCAAACTTTGAGAGCTTTCCAAATTTTGGAAATTTTGGGCCTAACAAAAAAAAAAAAATGGTGAAGAAGGGGAAATTGTCTGCAAAAATAAGAAAAGATAATTTTTTTTGGTTGGAACCCGATTTGGTTGTGGCCAGAAGCGTTCGTGATGTATATTGATATGCTGGTGAGTCCAAATTGGTTCTTTGCTAATGTTTAAATATGAAAGAGAATCTCATGACTGTTCATTTTACTTTGTTAACGAAACCAAGCCTACTGTGCACGGATGTGGTGCATCCATTGCCTGTTTGGCAGCCTTTTCAATTGGGGTTTTCTGTGTTGAACTTAGTGGACACGAAGGTGAGTTCTAGAGCTGCTAAGTTATGCTTAAAGAGAAACATAGAAAACTGCAGAAAAAAGACCAAGCGGTCCATCAAGGCTGCTTTTTGATTTTTTCCCCCTTATGTAATTTTTTTGTTTTATTTTATTTTATTAATTTTTGTCAAATGATGGGATGACTTTATCCCAAGCATATTTAAATTCAGTTACTGAGGATTGATCCACTACCTCTGCTGGGAGTTGGTTTCATGGTCCAACTACTCTTTCTGAGAAGCAAATACTTTCTAACATTACTTTTGAACTTCTGTCAGTTTGAGATTACATCCCCCTGTTCTTGATTTTTGCTTAATATTGAAAATACTGCCTTCTAGAACCTTATTCAAATTCTTAATATATTTAGAGCTTTCCCTATCTTCCAAGCTGCACATATTCAGTTTCTTCAATCTTTCCTGATAGGTTTTGTTCCCTTCCCACTTTGCACCATTTTTGTTGCCCATTTCTAGACTCAGTATTACCAATATTTAGTTATCAATATTTTTAAGTGAAGTCTCCAGAATTGGACACAATATTACAAATGGGATCTGACTAAAGCTCTACATAGCAAGATTAGGGCCTCCCTTTTTCCTGTTGGTGACCTCTCGTGATGCATCCCAGAATTTTGTTTGCCTTCATAGCTGCCTAGCTATGCATTAATTGTATAGTCATTTGCTAGCAGCACGTATCTACAGTAAACACTTTTCTTATATTGTTCTGGCTAACATGGTACCCTTAATACTGTACTTTTCCAGATAATTCTTTTTCTCCAAGTGCAGGAACTTACATTTAGAAACATTAATATGCAGTGTCCACATTTTGTTAGGTAATCAATAGAATATTAACACCCACCCCAAAAAATAGGAAGAGAAAATGTCCCAGTACAGTAGCTCCAGTACAAAGATACATCAGATTGAATAACAATAAGAAATACAATGTTTTTCTACCTGGTAATGTGCTAAAACTGGAGCACTACTGTTGTCAGTTCATGAACATTTCTGGGTTATTAGATGATAACTAAGACATTCTAGAAACAAAATACATTCTTTGAGCCAGAAATGTATTCAGCTTTTCTAATTTAGAAAGACATCCAAAGGAAACTTTGGGCAAACACATCAATTAATATCTAAACAAAAATAGTAAGTTTTAAATTTTGGTGATAACGTTGGCAGTTAAAAAAAAAACTTTGGGTAATAAAGCCATAAAACCTTTAGAAGCTTTGTTTTATTCCCCTGTGGGTCATCCACAAATCTTTCAGCCTGTTTCCAAACAAGAAATCAATACTATAACTTGAATAGTTCTTTTAAAAATGGTTCTTCTTTTTCATTTGGATTGGGGTTTTTTGGCTAATTTTGACATACTTGAATTTGTAAATAAAGTATTTAATCAGCAGAGTTACAACTGCTTATGTTTGCAGTTGAGAGACCTAAGTGGTAATTCTGGATTGCTTTCAGTCATGTAGACATTTACTTTTCTTGGTGATAAATAGATGAACTGCTTTCCTTTGCTATTTTATCTAAAAAATTCTGATTCAAATAATCAATCAAATGCTCTGGCAATATTTAAGCGGCAAAACTGTGCTTTTAAATTAGTTGTGTCCTGACACATCTTTAAGGATTATAGGATTGAAATAATTCATTGTATGCATCATAGTCTATTTCTTTTGATCAGATTCAGCATTGATAATTTGTTCTCTAGTCCCATTGGCAGAACTAAATTCCAAATGTGAGCAGATTTCCTGAAACTTTGTTTTTATAGTATCTCTGAGTCTTAAGTCAATCTGACATGTTTTTCCTGAGGAGTAGAAAATAAATTTTAAGAGCCATGGGATGTTAAACTATTCATAGAATTTCATGCTGTTCAACATTTTACTAAAATTCTAACCAGCTCCTATTAAACTGCTATCCTTGTACTGGTATTTTCTTCAGCAGTTTGTACCATAAACAATATCCATCTCAGTCCCAGTTCAGCATTTTTTCCAGAATGGCCGTTTGGGGTGAAAAATATTTTTTTTTGCTATGACAATTTTTTCTTGGCACTTATATTCTGTTTGCTGGAAACTAAACTATTTCTTTCCTTTGTATAGGAATATTCCACCAAGCAACTGACCAATTTGGTGAATGTTTGTCTGGGATCTCACATCAACAAAAAAGCTAAGCAGAAACTACTAGCGGCTATTGATGACTTAGATAGGCCTAAAAGATAATTCATAAGACTGTCCGGTATCATGATTCTTTTCTTTTGGCCTGTGTTATTATTTGACCATGTGAAACATGAAGAAATAGCTCATGGAACGACAGATGAAGTTTGGCTAAATGGAGAAAGTGGGCATCCTTTTCTGACTGGCTCCAAAGACATTTGAAATCAGTGTGTGGTCTTCTCAATCCTCTATCCTCACTGCCACTTTGGCAGTGTGCTTTCTTTCATGATGAGTTAAATTTGTGTTTGTATGTGTAGATGTGCATGTTTGTGTATGCATATATTTACACACACACTAACATACAGTTGCAAGAAAAAGTATGTGAACCCCTTGGGATTACATGGAGTTTTGCATGAATTGGTAATAAAATGTGCTCTGAACTTCATCTAAGTCACAACAATAGAAAAACAGTCTGCTGAAAATAATACTACACAAACATTAGATGTTGCCATGGTTTAATTGCACATAACATGTAAACATTCACAGTGCAGGGAGGAAAAAGTATGTGAACACTTCGTCTTAATAACTGGTTGCCCTTCTTTGGCAGCAATAACCTCAACCAAATGTTTCTTGTAGTTGCAGATTAGACCTACACAACGATCTGGAGTACTTTTGGACCACTTCTCTTCCCAAAACTGTTTCTGTGT